AAAATGTAAATAATGTAAAAAAAAAATCATAAATTTACTTATTTTAGTTTTTCCGTTATGGGTTACTTATTTTAGTTTAAAATTTTACTTTAAGTCACGCCCCACTAAACAAAGTTCTGACTCCACCATTGTTAGTAATCTAGTAATTTGTGAGCAAAACGCGATCTCACACTATAATGTTGTTAATATATATCAAGTGTTGCTTAATTAGAAAAAGGCCAACTCATGATACAATTTAACAATTAAATACTATGTAAACCAACACATGAAGAAGCAAAAGCCCAACTTTTTTGGTGTAATTAACCAAATGCAATCAAATATATCCCCATGTCTATGCTAATTTTAGTTAATTAATTAATGAAACATAAGCCCAAATTTCTGGTGTAATTAACATAATTATGATGGATATGAAAGAAGGTACGTAGTAGTTTTCAATAATTATCATCCCTCGTAGAGTTTCTGCAATTCATTTATTTGAAGTCAATATCATAATTTATGTCTCATCGTTAATTATATCTTTCTAAGCATTAAAAAGAGTGGGTTCAAAAATGAAACCAAACAAATGCATTAAATGGATATCAACATATACGAATGTCGCATATACATACATATATGCAATCTTAATTTTATCATTTTTTTCCCTGAAAAAAAAAAAAAAACACAGAGGCTATATTAAAAGAGTTGCGCAACAAAGAGGCTATATATATATATATATATATATATAGCTATACACATATATATAAGCACATAAATACATATATATACACACACAATAATTCTAATATACATACACATATAAATATATATATATATATTTATATGTGTATGTATATTAGAATTATTGTGTGTGTATATATATGTATTTATGTGCTTATATATATGTGTATAGCTATATATATATATGTATCATCATTAAATTTGTATAATCAATTGTACTAGAAGACTAAAATCTGTATTAATTATAACTATTCTCCATTGATCTCACTTTTGTGATCTTCCAGATTTTATATTGCAAAGGGAAGACTTAACATTTGGTGAGCAAGAGTACTAGTACTAAGACTAGCTAGCAAAGGCCATTGGTGGTCCGGGCAATGAAAATGGTGATGTGAAAGTTTGATATAACACCATAACAACTAATGGTGGACAGCAACTGCACAACTAATGGGTCAAGTTCTCAATAATAACTTCATACCAAACCTTGTCTCTTTGAGTGGCTTACAGTATTTCTTCAAATCATTGGTCATAACAAGTTAGAAGAGACTGCACTAATATTAGATTGTGTCTCATTCAGTTCGTCGATTTGAATTGAGACGTGACTTTATGTGAAAGTTTTTAACTGTAGTAAAAAAAATTAGATGTGACTTTTGTGAGAGTTTTTAAATGTAGTAAAATTAAAATTAAAAACCTAAATCAGTGAAATGAATGATGTCTAATTTTCTAATGGATTTTTCCATGACCAAGAAAATTGGCAGTCAATTGATGTTTATAGTTACTGTTTGAGGAAAAATTTCATCCAACACTAAATCAACATTTTCGAACAAGAGATTAAGATTAAAAAAAATAAATCAGTCAACAATGTTAAGCGAAACACAAAAAAAAAAAAACCTAAAAAAACGACAAAGTTTTCACCTCTTGTATATTACAACTGATTAAATAATAATCGTGTATTGATCTTTGAACGTGAAGTGGGCCAAGTCACGAGTGGCCGGGCCCGGTAGTACAACCAAGAATGGCCCACCTTGTCTTGCGATTAGGTGTAGGGTGGGCCCAAATGAGAAAGCAACCGAAGGACGCTAAATTCACCTGACGTGGGGGTATGGCCACCTCACCGTGGTGCCTAAGGTCCTCCACTCGTCAACGCAATGTGGATCAGCTTTCTGTGGGTCCCACTTCTCTTTTTTAAAAAAAGTAATTATTTTCGTTTTATCTTATCTTTTCAATCCATGTGCTTCCAATTTTGACTCTGCGTTTCAGTTTTCACAACAACGTTGACTGGTTGTGAGCATGTGCACTATTGTCCTTTTCTTTCTTCTGTTTTTATAATGGAGACTTATTTTTAATAATACTTTTTTATTTTTCAGCACATCTGTATAAACTTTATTTATTTTATGTATTTTTTAAATTTAATATGATTTTAACCTCATAAAATGATCAAAAATTGAAATTATTAATAGAACGGACTATAGTCCTTTTAAACGTATTGGGTCTTCAGAAATTCACCATTGTTATCCCTACCCAAAAACAAGTACCACGAGAAAAAAAGAAGGAAAAAAACACAGTGCCACTGAGCCAATGATTTTGTACAAATATACATACTATCAGTGTACGTAGTGCGTATCTATCAATTGGGTCACGTTCTCATTTTGATATGACTGACCGTTTGGGGTAAAAAAAGATTGAAAGAATCTAAGCTTGAATATGTTTCCCTCAATGAATCCAAAATTGTACATTTAAACGTAGTAAAGGACCAAATAAATTAAAGACTATGAATTTGAGTTTGATACTATTGACGAGTACCTCAATTAATACTCCTTAAAAGATTCTCTACCGACGAGATAACCATTTGAATTTGTGTGGTATACTTAATAGTGCTCTTTTAAATAATCTTCTTCATCGTTTCTTTGTATGTGTTACAAGTTTTTAACTGTATTTTGTTAAATCATATGATAAGATAATACATGTACACGATGATACATACAAATGATCATCAAAACTCAATATGATTGATATGTTCAGTCTACTTCAAGTCACGATAACTGCTCACATGATGCTAAGTGTTAAATTGGTTATCGCGTTAAAATAAAATAAAAAATATGCAAAACTAAAGGACGTTTGGTTAGAGGATTCAAATCATGTGATTCGAACTATTTTCGATTTACGTGAATTTTTTGTGAGAGAAAATACTGTAGCGAATCACGAATCATGATTCGAATCAAGAAATGAATCCCTCTACCTAATCTAATGAAAATCCTAAGGTTGGTGGAGTTTTTTTTGTTTATTTTTCTAATTATTCTCACTAAAGAATTCACATTATTTTTGCTCAACTCTATGTTACTTACACAATGAGAAATGATTCAACTTTGTGAAGAATTATGCTGCAGAGTATTAAAATACCATATCAGTATGACATTAATTTTAATCATTAAATCAAATTAGGTATAGATTTTAAGTATCAAATCAGATCAAAATTATATTAGATTGAAAACATATGAATAACAATGAAACCTAATGAATATAAGACGATTAAAAACTGCATTTCTCTACCTATAAGGTATTTTTAATACAATTAACACAAATTCTCCATCTTTTTTCACTATGAACTTAAATAAGACTGCACCATTGTGTTAATCAAAGTTACCAAGAAAAAAAAAAGTCTTGGGAGTGGATTGACATTTTATCCTTTTTGTGGGTCAACTATGAACTTAAATAAGACTGCACCATTGTGTTAATCAAAGTTACCAAGAAAAAAAAAAAGTCTTGGGAGTGGATTGACATTTTATCCTTTTTGTGGGTCATCCTAAACTCTCCATCATTGCCAAAACCACCAAGTGTTGAGTGAAAAGAAACTAAAAAGCTTTTCCCTAATAATATGAGATGAACATAAATCTGATCTTCCAGAATTCGGTGGATTTGTTATAAGTGGCAGAGAAAACCAGAACCTTCATTATTAACCAATCCATAATCTGAGAGCACGCGACATCATGAAAAGACAATATATTAGGTGGACCTGAAATGCTCTTAATTTTAAGCCATTGAAATATATATATTTTTTTTTTTGAGTTATAAAAGAATTTTAAGAATTTTGAACATCAAGCACATGCGTTTGTCTGAGTTTAGATCAGATACCGCCTATTTGATATTCAAAGAAGTTGATCTTGTCTTTTATTATTATTTTTTTTTCACCTTAAGAGGTAATCTTGCGAAAAGTGTATGAGTTAAAATTTTTATCCTTACTATTGATTTTTAACTTTTTTAATTAAATAATTACATTAATAAAAAAATATTCATTAAAAATAAAAAATAAATGTTCAGTATACGTAAATTCTTCATTTTTTCTTTCATAATAGTAGTGGTGGCCCAAAATCCAGCTAATTTGCAATGGATTTTGGGCCAAATTAGCTGAAACTGTCCATGCAGAAATATAACATGTTAAGACGTACGGAAATTGAATGAGATTTCAACACTTCCAAATCAAATGATATGATGTGGCCATGAAGATACATCATCAAAAGTTGGTACTTGTAGCATTGCTCCAACACAATTTTTTATTGAGAATTAATACGATGGAGTATTAAAAAGTGGGAACTGTCTTCAGGACGACACCTATACCAGTTTGGTAAATGTATTTTCTTTTTTATATATTTTCATGTAACACCGTTCACTCGTGTGTGTAACATTGAGTTAATTAAATACAACACTCAAAAAAATAGTGAACACGTAAAATTTAGTGTTAAAACTTGAGTAGATTAAAAATAATGGGCTTGTTTCGTAGTGTTATCAAAATAGTTTTATTTTGGATATGAAAATAAAAATGAGAACTTTTTAAGAATGATGTTGAGATTGCTTTTAAAATTACGTTTGGTTAATTTTCTTAGAAATTGTTTTAGTTATAAAAAAAGTGAAATTGTGTTTGGGTAATTTTTAGAAATGTGTATCAAGTTTTAGGTTAGAAAATGAAAATGAAAATGAAATAAAAATAGAAAAACAACCATCTTCACTATTTTTTGTTTTCAAAAAATTTGCTAACTAAAAGAGATTTGCAGACCTTTTTTGTTTTCCTGCCATAGAAGACGTGTAAAAATGTTTCCAAAAACAATATGAAAACACTTCCAAACAGGCTAATGTTACACAATAATACCAAAAAAAAAAAGTTACATTTGTTGGGCTGTCCTAACTTCGGTTGCTTAAGACTTTGCCATAAAAAGTATGCTAATTCTATTAATTTTACATACTTTTTCATTTAAATTTAACTTTGACTAGATGTAACATGCACTTGTAGATATCCAACTATAGAAAGTTTCTTTTTTATACCAAAACATGAATAGTAATACAACCTTTCAAAAATGCTCATAAGATTCTCAACTAAGAAAAAAAAAAGGTAGGCCCCTTTTAAATACGCAACAGAGATCTCCCATTGATGAAAAACGTACAAGGCCATAATCTAGGCAGGTGCTTCATTGTCAGCTTCCACTCACAATTTTTCCGATGACCGCTCCTTTTACTGTGGAAAAAGGCGAAGCAGCTTCCGCTTGGGACGACAAACGACAGCACTGACATTGTCATGTCGAATAAGAGAGTGGTCCGCCATAACAAGCTTCATCATCTGTATCTCTATTGACAAGCCAATTTATTGATACTTGTTCTGCCATCAAGCTTTCCTAGCAACCTTCCTCTTCTTTGATAGCCCCTTTTGCTTTTCATCTCTCTTCCGCTTCATTGTTTCCCTCTGGAGCGATCTGTTGACCAATGACGGCTGTTCTTTCAATGCAAAGCTTTTCGCAACATGCCCTAAGTGAAGCTTCTTCACCATAAATATTCTTTTCAGCTCGCCGCGGTGAGCTGTGTACGCACGCACCCAAGAGCAAAAACCCTTCTGGGCTAGCTGCTTCAATTTTGGCTGAGAAAACAGATCAAGAGAAACATGTGAAAAAGAACAACATTGAATCTTTACGAATCGGGTCTGTGATGAATTAAACGGGAAGGAATTAAGAATCTTGAATGCTACGGCAAAAGTATAGGTTTGGACCAGTTTGATGGACTTTCTTTCGAAAGATACAGTAAACAAATGTAGCTTCGTCCAAATATTCAAAAGTTCGTAAACTAACTTTTGTTACTAAGATGTGCCTAAGACCTCTTGGTCTAGTGGCACTGGGGGGTTCGGGTGGGGTGGGGTGGGGGGCTGCGGATTCAATCCCGTGTTGTATCAAAAAAAACTTTTGTTACTAAGCTGTATTAAAGAATTATTTAGGATCAACGAAATTTAGTATAAAGCCAACCAATTGATGAAATGCAGAGGATAAAAGATGATAGCATCAGAAAGGAAAAGGGGAAAAAAGAAAAAGAAAAAAAAAAGATAATTATGAAGAGAACAAATTTGAACAATGCAGAAGATAAATATGAATATGAGCATACCTGAGCTACGATAAATGCTTCAAGTGCCCTTTGCATAGATACCACCCATGGATGTGACTCTATGGATATAAACTTCTTGACGCGATGTTTTTCACCATATAACGGGAAACTATCTAACACTTTGGAGAGTTGGTACTCTGTCAATGAGACACCATGTTTCTCCAAATCATGTAAATAGTCCATTTCTACTGGCTGTAAAAACAACAACGAGTCTCCTTTCTCGCCCAGCCGAGCAGTTCTGCCGACCCTGCATTGTGAATAAATCTAACATCAAGCGTCTGTGGACCCTCCCTGCAATCTCAATATGTAGACTGGTGCTCTATGGACAATATAAAATAGTTGATAGACACAGCCTAGGGTAGCACCGAGCTCAAACCAATGTTCCATGCATAAAATAATATCATAAACTAAGCAATCGGATGAAAAAGTCCTTCAACAGTTAAACCAACGACTTGAAGATACAAAGAATGGTAATCAATGCAAAGCTGTGATTCTTCTCAGGAAAAGTGCAAATAAGCTATGTGAACAAATGCTAGTCCAATTTAAAGCAACAGAGTTTTTGCAAGTTGTGTTTCCAAAGACAAAACTACACAAAAGCAAGAAAGCGAAAGAGAGAGGGGATAACAAATTGGGATTAAGAAAGATTACCTATGTACATATTCAGTAGCCTCTCCTGGAGAATCATATTGTACGATACATCTGACTTTTGGAAAATCTAACCCTCTAGCAGCAACATCTGTGGACAAAAGAAGAGCCGATTTCTCTGTTTTGAAGGCCTGAAATGTGGTTTTTCTATCCTCCAGCTTCATTTTACCATGTAAACAGAGAGTCTTGCACTTAAGAAACATCTGTTTGAGTTCTGCTTCTGGTTGCGAGTAAGGTGAGTATTGGAACTCACTTAACAATGAGAAGTGAAAATCTACTGCATCACATGTTGAAAAGAATACCACAACCTGTAGAAAGAGTATGTGACTGAACCAGATAAGTTGAAGATAATATCATCAAGTTGTGCCAAACTAAGACAACTACTATTTTATCCTGCATAAAATTTAAGTGAATAATACTTTATATGGAGCAATGACCGAGACTGAAGTCGGATTCACCTTTTGAGATGCGTCTCTCTCATAAAGATTCTTTAAAATGGAAAGAAGTACAGCAAGCCGTGCATTACATGGCACTGCAAAGAAATCGATTGGAACAGTCGCATCATGATATCAATTGAAGTTTCATAAAAACAGAATCTTCAGTAACACAAACCTTTTACGTATCTTTGATTAAGTTGAGATGGAAGGTTATAATCTTCAACAGACGGGCCTGTTATTTTAAATGTATAATCTGTGTCCTCCCTGTCAGATCCAAGAGATCCCAAGTGTTCAGGTGAAGAAGAAGGCTGCATCCTCTTGTCTTCCAGACCAATCATAACAGGATTTTCTAAGCTAATTTTAGCCAGGTGGTTCACTTTGTCATTTAATGTGGCCGATAAAAGCAAATTCTGCCTCTCAAATTCAGATGTACTTGAGACGGTGGCATCCTTGTTCATGGACCCATGTTGCCTTGAACCCAAAAGGTCTAGAATTTCTTCTATTTCTTTGCCAAAGCCTAATTCTAAAATCCTGTCAAAGACTGTGTAAGAAAACAGATATTCTTTTTTCTTGTAGATTGAAAGCAATTTTGGCGGTGTGCCATACCTATCTGCTTCGTCAAATATTATCCAACGTAAGTTTGAGTACATGAATGATGATGTATTCTTTAGGTGATCCAGGAGTCGTCCAGGAGTTGCAACAAGAATGGATATGCCTGGAGAGGAGCACATGACAGTGAACATCGGAGTGCAACGAAACAAAAATTTTTACGTAAGAGAATCAACAACTAGGAATTTTTTCTTTTTTAAATTTAAGCTGAACGGTTTCACCCCTATCAAGGATTATACATAACAATATGAAGAAACCAGTGGTAATGCCCACAAGGAAGACTAAAACATTGAACCACGAAATTATCGGCCGCGAACAATATGCAAAGAGGTACATAAGAAATAGGTCATCACATAATGAACCATGAATAGACATATTCATCATATATCATGTAATCTAGAGATGCATAACATTTCCTCCAACAAAATCCTCAAACCAAGGGATGAACATTCACATGTATCCTACCTTTACGCAGCCGGGCTTTCTCTTTCGACCTGCTTTCACCCCCCATTACGTAACCCGGTACGATCCAATGAAACCGGTGCAGTAACTTCTGCAGAATTTCGTGCACCTGCAAGCATAGCTCACGCGTCGGTACAAGAACCAACGCTATGACCAAATATCAAATAAGATTATCATTAACATGGGCAAAAACTGTGCTCGACCAAATATTAACTAACCTGATATGTTTCTAGCATCATAAACAAGGGGAAAAAAATAAAAAACACTTTTCCTAAACCCTCAATGGAACTTAGAGATCACAAATTTCATATGGCTGAACATAAATAGCAAACAAGATGTAATGAAACGCTCAAGAAGCACAACAGCACAAAATGTAACCAAATAAATAAATACAAATGTATGCAACCAAAAAGAAAAAAAAGATTGATCCATTACTCAAAACAAAGACACTGTCCGTTTCGCTAGTTCGAATCACAACTCAAGTTTTTACTACAGTATTTTCTCTCACAAAAATTCAAATTCAATTTCTTCTGTTCAGTGTCTTCTCTCACATAAATTCAACTTTTAACTCAGCGAGCGAAACGAACTTCAACAAAGTCTTAAAGAAATTGACAAATTTGACCTCTTCACGTGTGTCGCCAGTGCTAGTATGTCTAAAAAATAGCGAGTTTCAAAGCTTGGGGATGAATTTCGAGACATATCATATATCAAGCGCACAACAGGTACGTTTCATAGTCCAAGGAATGTTCACACAAGTGACTAGTTCAGGAAATTCATGAAATTTATCCCAAAATAAATAAAATTAACAAGGCTTAGTGGCTTACCAAAAGTTCCATCGGAGCGTTGAACTCTAGGATTGTAATTCTGCAAGTGGTGGATAACAGGAGCTAAATACGCTACTGTTTTGCCAGAGCCCGTAGAGGCATTAACAAGTCTGGAATTTTACCCATTAAAGAACACCGAAAATACAATACCAAAGAAAAAAAAGGAAAATGGAAAAAAAATAATAATAGTAATTAATAATAAAAAAAAGTAGCAAAAGTAATAGTGAAGCAGACAAGGATACACATGGCGGCCGGAGAGAATAACCGGAATGGCTTGAGCCTGTACTTGAGTAGGAGCTTCAAATCCCATTCTTTCTATTTTCCACAACAATAATCCAAACAGCGTTGTCAAATTCGAATATTATCAATGCAAATTACTCAAAATTTATTTCTTTTACAAAAAGTTTTCCTTTTTTTCAGCATTTGCTTGATTCAACATGTCCATGGAATAGGAATTCCTAAGAATTCAGATTTCGAAGTGAAAAAGACACGGAGAGAGAAAGAGAGAGAGAGAAACCTCGGAGCTGGCCGCATAAGGTGGGGTGAAGGCCGAGGCTGGAGAAAGAGCAAGACGCGAAGATGTCGTTTTTGGTCGTCTTCTTCGTCGTATCTTCGTCTGTTTTGGCGGGTTTCTCGCTTCTCCTGACCGCCATGGCTGATGAGCTCTGGTTTTCGGTTCTCTTCTCCTCCTGTGGCTTCCACGGCCGAAGGGAATTTTCTCTTGTGTTCCGTCGCTAAGCACGAAAAGGGGTTTTCTTTTTTCTCTACCTCAAGCGCGATGTCGCTTTATGATCGTTGTAGGAAAGTGCGGCGTCGTTTTGTATATTTAGGAAGCAAAATGGAAAGTGGATAATTGAAAACGACGAGTCGTTTGTTTGAAAGGTTTTAAGGTTGTTTCCATTTATTTCACAAACGACGTGAAGTTCTCCGTTTAAAAGCCCTCGTTTCGTTTGTGTCACTTTCTACAACACGACATGTTGTTTATCGCTTGAAGATTTTTTTTGTTCTTATTTGAATGTCGTTTAGTGCCTAAAATGACGTGACGGTTTGGTGCTTAAAATCCCTTTTTCCTTTGTATTAGAGACTCAAAACAACATGTCGTAGGTCGTTTGCAAATTACAATTTAAAAACCTTTTTGTGTCATTTTTTTATTGATTGTCTTCTTAACTGAAAACGACACGTCGACCACGAAATGGACTATGGTGGGTAAACTACTGGGTACGCTCACAGTCCAGCCCATAAACAAAGTAGGCCGCTCGGCCCAAATGTCGGCTAAACCAGTCACCGGACAGCCAGCCCATTTGACACCCGTCGGCGCACGTTAGCACGATCTTCTTTCTCAAACTCAGGCGAAGAACTGTGAAAATTTCTCCATAAGCTTTTCAATCTGTAAGCTTTCCTAGCTAGCTCATTTTTTTTCCTTTTCTGTGCTCAATCATATTTCAAAGCTTTATCTTGATTTGGTCTCCTGATCTTCGGGGCTTTATTAGGTGGTTTGGAAAAAAGTGAACTTATTGAAGAATTTTACTGCTTTTTTCGATTTGGTTTTAGCTTCAATTTGAATATTTATGATTGAATTGCATGATATGTATTTCAAGTAGGAGGAAAATCATTACCGTAAATGCTTGATTTGATTTATTGTATAAAATTTCCATATTTGTAAATAAGGAAAGTTGAATTTCATAGTTAGAATATGAAAAGTTCGTGATTTGGTTATTTTGAATTTGAACTATGATTGTGAATTAGTTTATTTAAGTTGATTTTTTTTTTGGGTGGGTTTAGTTGATTTGTAAGTAAGGAAAGTGATGTGGGGTGTGAGGCAAGCCCAGGGGGCTCGCATCCTGGAACTTGTATTCTCAGAAGATAGTAAAGATTTTTCCCTCCTCACGGACGTAGCTCTTGAACAAAAGGGTGAACCACTATAATCCTTTTTCTTGTTTAACTTTAAAAAAAAATCTTCTCAAAGCAAAATTAAGCCGTCAAAGTCACGTTAATCACTTTTAAACCCGAATTAATCCAGTTGACGAATTTCCACCGTCAACAGAAAGTTGAATTACACAGTTAGAAATATGAAAAGTTTGTGATTTTTCATTTTGAACTATAATTTTGAATTAGTTTATTGAAGGTTTTTTTTTTTTTTTTTTGGGGTTTAGTTGATTTAATGTAAATTTTTGGTTTTTTGGTTTTTTTGGTGGTGATATTAGATGGGAACCCTAGATGAGGTGGTTGAAATTGATAGCTTAGAGAGGGGTCTCTTATCGGGAACCGGTACTCGGGGCGAAAATGGAGCTGAAGGTGAAACAGTTCTGTATGCAGCCTCATTCCAAGAGATGGAAGACAAGTTTATCAAGTACCAAACATCTCAATGGGTTCTTTACTCGTTGCTTTTGGTGTTGGCTTGGGGAATTGGCTTTTTTATGCTGCTTTATTTGCCGATTCGGAGATATATACTGCGCAAGGACATTCGATCGAAAAAGCTCTATCTTACCCCGAATTCCATTGTCTACAGAGTAAAATCTTCAGTTCCCGTTCTAAATTTGCGGAAACATATATCCACGAAGCTTTTGTTGACCAAATCATGCATATATTTTTTATCACTAAGTGATGCGTATGTTCATTTAGTTCAGGTTACTAGGCCAGTGCCATTTCCATGCTTTGGTGTGTTGAAGAAAGAGAAGCATATTCTCTTACCATCAGTGGCTGACATAGTAATTGAACAAGGTATATTGTTTCTACATTTTCTTGTCCAGTGAGCCTAATTGGTATAGTTTTATGTTTTAGTTTCTGCTTAGAACTTGAGTACATAGCATCCTAGTGCGCGTACAACAAAATCTTGTTTGTTAAATTTGCTGCATTTGAACACTTGATTTTGTTGATTCTGATGTAATTATGGTTGAATGCTGGATTTAGTTCAAGTGGGTTGTTCATATAACAAAGGGAAAAGGGTCTTGGATTTTTACCCTTTTAATACCCTTTAATTAAAGAACTATATTAATCAAAAGGGTATTAAACAAGAGTAAGGGGGTAAAAATTCAGACTTATGCACTCCTAAGGGTAAGTTCAGTAAATTTCTCTAAAAAAAAGACAAATCATGTGATAGTTGCAAAACGTTATCCCATAAACTAATCTAAGTATATTTGATATTAGTAGTTTTAAAGTTTGTCTTATTATTTAGACAAAACAAAAAGGTGCATAAGGTGCTACACTCGGATCCTTATCTATCAACTTACTCGGATTGTATGTGTTGAATAATGATGTGTGTTTCAACCTTGGGAAAAACCGTGTGTTGGTCCTTTGTCCGCATGGATTCCGTCACTACATTCTGCTAATTTTTTAACAACCTCTCATCGCTATAAACAGGATATTTGCAGTCTCTGTTCGGTGTGTACTCACTTAGAATAGAGAATATCGGTGTAAGACGGCCACCAAGCGATGATGTTCAAATCCAGGGAGTTGCAAATCCAAGTGCTTTCAGGAAGGTACGTTAAAGTATCAATTCATATTCTTTTAGTAGTTCAAATTTCAAAAACATGATTTAGTTTAATCTCCCTTGATTCCCTTTTCAGGCTGTTTTAATGCGCCTTTCAAGTATGAGGAGTGAGGCTTTCTCCAGACAAGTTTCCGCAATTGAAGACGTCCCAAATTCTAGGGTAGGTGAATCTCTCTACACTTGGTGTGTTTTACATACCCTTGAAAAAAGACTTGGTATGTTTCCTATACGGGTATTACTAAGATCGGTTTTTGTAGTTATCCGATCGGATGCTAAAAGAGCTCCTCTCTTTTTTATCTCATTGCTTGTTGTCTATTCTAAATAAATTTATACTTCCTCAACTGCAGTTATCTCAATCAAAATCTGTCAGGCAAGATTCATTTTCTCATACAGGGGATCTAATTCTACTGCAAAAGCTAGAAGAGGTTGGAACTTCAGTCAAGGTAGAAAGCCAATTTTGGACCCTTTGTTTCTTTATTTAAAGGCAGTTGAGACTACTTTTCTTTTTAACTCTATACGTCTATCTAATCTAATGTTTACTACAGAGAGTTCAATCTTTAATTGAGGAGCAACACCCTCAGAGAACAGAACATAGGGAATGAGTGAATTGAGTGGATTCAAACAGGCATTGAACGGTTGAAGTGCGAGATAAGACCAACAGACACAGTTTGTTGATTCCTAATGAGTGAAATTTGTTCCCACCTTTTGTTGTTGGGTAGGATTGGCTGATTCTCCTTCGAGCCCCGTGTGTGATCGTTGATTTTCTTGTACGTTATTATTTGGAAACATAGCAAGTTAATGCATGTAAATTTTGTAGGCAAATGTAGTTGTGGTGTACAACGTTTTTTCAGGTCTTGGATGATGGTGAACATAAATCTAGACCGTTGAAATTGAAATTTTTTGTTATTTGGTCCCACCTGACAAAAACAACTCTAATTTCAGTGGCCAAGTTTGAAGTTTCCATCATCCAACACCTAATATTTTGATTGTATGGTATAGCCAAAAAGCGTCGTACCGTAATTCTGGCATATTCCTTATTTTCTGGCATATTCCTTATCTTTTCTCTTGTTATTGATTGTGGTTTTTCACTCGTTTTTTCCCCTCGTCTTTCCACGTCCAATCATAACAGCCTCTCACACCCTAAAAACTTTTGTTTGTACGTGCAGAAGTGAAATTTTACAGCTTTTACTACAAAGGCATTTGTTTGGTATAATACTATTTAGGTTGATTTATAATTTTATATACTACTGGTTCATGGAGGACATTCTGTGGCTGTGGTCTCGTAAAAGTCACTAATGGTCTATGGAAGTCCGTTTGGTTGGAGAATTATTTAAATTATGATTTGTTATAATATTTTTTCTCATAAAAAATACACGTAAATTAAAAATAATTTTAATTTTATGGTTCTAATCTATAAACCAAACAGGCTCGGCCCTAAATCATTACATTAGTAAGATGAATTGATTGATTTCCGAAAACCCTTTAAAATATATATATATATATATATATATAATTTAAAGAGCTTGAAATCAATCAATTGATCTTATATGTATATATATAAGCCTAAAAGGTTAAAAAACGTAGGCTTGGAAAATCCTTATATTAGAGTTCTTCTTGGAACATGTTTCGGGACGAAGAGAAAAGGGTTTTTCCTATGTAAGAATCAAAACAAGGAGAAGTGGTCCGGTAATAGCTTGAACCTAAAATTTCATATCCACTCATGTAACCATCTGGCAAATATAGTGGATAATGCCATTGGCGATCCAAATTTGATTTTTGTCTGAGAGCCACAACATAGGGATAATGGGTCTGTAAGTGCCTGCTCAAGTTTGGTTAGTTCAAGAGCATGGCTAATATATGAAAAAAAAAAATTTAGGATTAGTTTTGATAAAAACTCCCTAAACTATATATCCTAGTACAACGTTTTTTTTTTTCTTTTTTTTAAAAAAAAAAAGAAAAAGGTTCATTTCACCCCCTTGAACTATACAAAATCATCAAAACACTCATTCGTTTATAATACTAGTTACTAACAACATAGTAACGAGACACTACTTTTATTTTCATAAATGCCTTTGAATTACTAATTTCCTATCTACTTTCCTTCTGATTTTGTTTTAAAAAAAGGAAAGGAAAAAAAAAAAAGACATGAACAAGCTGACACGAAATCAAATAATCCGCGTTAATTTATGAAATTACATTAGTTCACGAGGTATTTTGTATGATTTTATATAATCAATGGATTAAAATGAACTCTTTTTAAAATTTAATAAGCATGTTGAACTAGAATACATAATTCGCATTATATTTACGAAATTAATCCACAGTTTTATCATGAATACTATGGAAATAGTAAATATGTTAAATTCGATGTAAAGTCTTAAAAAAAATAAAAGTTTTATTTTTTTTCAGTTATTTAATACTTACAAGTTAAATCTTATGAGTACCACTTGATTTGATTTAAACACAAGAAACAAATATTTCTAGCCAAAAAAAAAAAAAAAAAAAAAAAAAAAAAAAAAACACACACACACACACACAATAAACAAAGAAACACGATTCAAGATGCTTTGTTTTATATTGTCAATACATTACTTGCTGAGTTAACAAGCGTTTTGGTTTCTAACAAACCCAATTCATAATAAATGCTTCATTTAAATATGATTAGTCCATTGCTTAATGAGTTGTCGTACGGTTTCTATGGGAATGAAATGACCAATTTCTTTGAATAAAATGGGAAATCCCAATCTAAAAGTTCCTAATATGGTTAAGCTTACACAGTTTTTTAAGTGAAAAGGAGAGGTAGTTGCCCGTCATTCTCTTCTGATAAAAGTTGTCCAAAAACAAGATAGAGAAGTGGGGTGAGCAAATATGGCATTTTGTGTGAACAACAAATTAACAAAATTCTGGAATTTTGGTTGAGAGGATATGGGGTTGGCTTACCAGTCTTGACTTGTCACTGAAATTTGCTCCTTTTTTTTTTTCCATCTTTTGTGGGGTTTGCAAAATATTTTCCTTTCTGAATGTTGGTCTAAGAATACATGAAGGATGGCCAAGATTTTCTTTCCTTTTGGACGAAGAAAGGATTGAGGATTGGCGTGATTTTATGAGCAATTCAATGTGACACGTAACTACTTATATATAATTCTCACCATACAATCATGCCTGTTTATTCAGGTAAATTCCATCTGTTTCCTGAAGTTTCAATCAAAGCACTTGCACCCATTAGGTTGTACCATTTCATCCAATTCCATTAGAAAAATTGTTTTTAGAAGAGTTTTTATGTGGGGGTAGTTCGATCATTATGTCATCTATTATAAAAAAATTCAATTTAAATCAATAATGTTGTTTATTATTTATTCATTCATTCTTATACATGATTATCTATTCTCGAAATATCAGTTGGTTAATAAAGGAAAGAATATTAATTTAGTCTAAAGACTAAAATACCCCTAAACATAAATTCACTATTAGGATGTTAGTAATGGAGTTGAATGAAAGTTAATTTAAACTGCTTGAAGAAACAAAGTAGGGAAAAAAAAAAAGACAAGTTTAGAGGACATAAATAAAATGGAGTATTATATGAGTATGTAAAAATACTTTATCTAGATGATATATTTCTTAATCGGCAATGTTCATCAAGATTCAATAAATTATTATATATTTTTTTTAATTTGATATAACTTTGACATGATCTAACAACAACAAAATATGTTCCATTAAAAATGTACTTTTTCACACCCTACCCGGCAAAATTCTCGAAAAAATAAAAATTATGAGTATGAAAATATAACCTAACAATATGATTCAATTTTCAACCATAAGATTCTCATAAAGTTCCTTTAATTTGTATGATCCTGGGATTCTTCTATGGTGTTTTCATAGCACCATGTCAAACCACAATTCTATCATAACTCTTACAACTTTAACGATTAAAATTTACAAGTTTCAACGTAAAGTTCACAAATCATCATATATTTTAAAAAATTCACTAATCTATCATCATTTACATAACTCTAACGTTCAAAATTTATAAATTTTAATGTAAAATTCATAAATTATCATATTTTCAGCGTCATAAAAATTCACCAATGAATGTTAATAAAGTTTTGTTTTTAGTAATAGAATCTTTTTCCCCCATACCCCACCACGTAAATATCAAATTTTCTGAATCTTTTTTGTGTTCCTTTTCTCCTACAGAGTTCCTGTGCCACCTTTTCAAAATTCAACTACCTAATAAATTACCTAATAAATTAGCTTTGTCTTATTAACCCATGAATTTGTTTGAAGTGATCATGTGAAAAGTCAAGTCAAAAAATTATATAAATTTAAAATTATGATTTATAATTTTAATTTTTAAAATTTAAATTTTTTATGAGAAAAAAATACTATAAAAAATCAAGAATCATGATTTAAAATTAAAAATAAACCCTTAAAATAAATATCTCATGCGTCTTTTTGACAACAATATTTAACACGTTATTGGTGGATTAACAAGACGAGAGAGCATAAAAACGTTTGAATTATGTCAAATTGGTACTTCTTGTTAGGTGCTCCAAGCCGACAATACAAAAATGTTGTAGCATAGTATAATAAATCATCACCGACCCGATCAGCAAAAAAGCATCACTGGCTCATTTTTTTTCTTTCTTTTTATCGTTTTGGAAAGTTATTTATATCGTGAAAAAGAATTGATAATACTAAAAAAAAGCAAGAAGTAATTTAAAGAGGCAATTTTTTTTTTTTTGGGGTGATAATTTAAAGAGCCAATTGGCAGTTTATAAAACCTACGTATGAAGAAATTTAGGATTAATAACTCATTTGGTACCTCAATTGTTTAGTAGATTACAATTTAGTCCCCCATCCCAACTCTCTTTTTATTAAAAAAAAAAAATTAAAAGCTCCCCAAACTCTTAAAAACGTTGCAAAAGGGACCAAATTTAATAGTAGACTTCACTTTTCAGATGTCGTTTCATCATATACCAATCACATGACCTTTATTTGTTTCAAACAAACCAAAATACTCCAAATGAGAGAGAGAGAAAAAAAAAGGCCTTTTTCCTATTTCCATGACTTGCACTGCAATCCCTTTAATTTCACTCCAAATGTGTTAACAAGGAGTTTCACTTTAGAATATCCTATTGTAATTAATCAAAAACGTACGATTTAAACAAAATAAAACTTATAAAGTGGATATAATAATGTTGCTCAAGTAATTCTCTCATAATATCATTATACTATATGCATAAATTTTAAGATTGCGATCAATAGCCCTCTAAGCCTTATGATAAAACACCCCGTTGCATAATTCCCCTTTTACAATTTTTTTTTTCCTTTTTAACTATAATTTTTTTGTTTTTTAAATAAGAAGTTCTGACTAGAGCTGCTTGTACTCAAATAAGCCTTATGATAAAACACCCCGTCGCATAATTCCCCTTTTACAATTTTTTTTTTCCTTTTTAACTATAACTTTTTTTGTTTTTTAAATAAGAAGTTCTGACTAGAGCTGCTTGTACTCAAACTCTTGCTAGCTACATGCTGTTGATTGCCGTTCTACAAATAAATATATAGAGAAGAACCTTTGGATTTGAAACATCCTGACAATAAAGAGTTATACTATAAAGTATCGGTGATGCTTAATACTATCTATTAATAAAAAATAAATCTTGTTGTGTGAAATTTTTTTTATTAATGATGGTGTTTAATATCGACAGTGATGTCTTTTCAAGTATTTTTATGAAACTAAATACAGTAATGACATAGCTAATACATAGCACGCTTTCCCAAAGAGTTAGAACAGTTCACTTTCTCCTCGTACGTGGTTGTTTGCTGTTGTTGGCTAGTTTCTCTACAATACGTTAGGTTGGAATCGGTTTTATGGTTTTGTTGCAAATTAAAAATCTAATATAAATAAATATTTTCGAGATTTCTCGTGTCGTTACTGCTTTTAGGCAATACGGCAATACATTGCGGATTGATGATGTTTTATCCAAAGAGGATGTAGGAAAAGAATGCATAAATTTCTATTTCTATTTTATTTTAATTTTTTTGTAATTTTTAACTGTATTTGTATGTGGAAAAATCACACTAACAAAAAACACCAATTGAGTTTTACAATTGACACTTGTTGACCAAA